TAAAACCCTGGGAATTTCCAACAAGGAGTGTTGTCTTTTGTTATGTTACTGAGGTGACTTTGGAAAGCATCTAAGGGTGGGGCTGGCCTGTGATTAGTGTTGGAACTTCCGGTCCCTCCCCCTGGCCTCCAGGGAGGGAGGGGCTGGTCACTGAAGCCATCTCCACTGGCCAGTGACTTCATCCGTCAGGTCTGTGCAGCGAACCCACTATGAAAATCCAAAAGGAGAGGGTTCGGGGCAGGTGGATGTGTGGAAATATGGTGAGAGCAGCACCTGCAGGCACGGAGGCTCCTCCCCCTCCCCCCAGACCTCGCCCTGGCCACCTCTTCCATCTGGCTGCCCCTGAGTTTTGTCCTTTTATAGTAAACCAGTAATTCAGTAAGTACCCAGTCTCTCTGAGTTCTCTGAGCCTCTCTAGCAAATGAATGAAGCTCAAGGTGGGGGTGGTTGGTACCTCCAGTCTGTAGTTCATCAGTCAGAAGCATAGGTAACAACCTGGGCTTTTAACTGATGTCTGAAGGTCGGGGGTTGGGGGACAGCTTTGTAGGACTTGAGCCCTTCACCCGTGGGATCTGATGCTGCTTCCGGGTAGACAGTGTCAGAATTGAGTTGAATTCGTGGACACCCAGCTGGGGTGAGAGAATTGTCTGTTGGTGACTTAAGCCCCAGCATGTTAAAATTGGGTCCAGGTATCCAAAACAGTGCTGAATACTCCTGTATTCTTGCAAATATGCTTCAGATGTGTTCCTGGGTCACATTTAAGTTAGAGTCCTGCCTTGTCTTGCTTTTTTTTTTTTTTTTCCTTAATGCTTATTTTTTTTTATTTTAGAAGATAGAGCGGGAGCAAGGGAGGGGCAGAGAGAGAGGGAGAGAGAATCCCAAGCAGGCTCTGTGTTGATAGCGTGGGGCTTGATCTCGGGAACCCCGAGATTGATGAGGGAAACAAAGGCAAGAGAAATGTAGCTGAAGTTAAAGCTCCTTACGGCTCGCAGCCCACTGACACGTGCTGAGTGTGACCTTGCTCAGGGACCTCCTGGCTGCCTTACTGCCTTGGTGGTTTTGTTTTATCAAAGACCGAAGGTAACCTCATCCTAGCAGCAGCAAGCCCCTCAAGGTCCTGAAAGCCTAGCTTCTAAGTCCCTTAGAGACTTACGCCGCCCCTCACCCCAACTAACTTAGAAGTCTATCGCCAGTCCCTCCTCACAAGCCCGGTGCAGCTCTTTCTGCCCCCCGGGTCCTGTCCCCGAGCTGGAAGAAAATCACCTTTTGCGCCAGACGTCGCAAGAATTCTTTCTTAGCCGTTTGCTCACGAACCCCACTCCGTAATTTCATCGTTTCGGCGCCCTCACGTGGGGCTGTGAGTCTGTCCATCCTCTGGGCTCTGCGCCTCGGTGCGAACTAGGTGAGTCCTCTCTCTTCTTCCTTTACTCTCATTTCAGGGGCTTTTCGAGAAGTTTGGAACACTTTGATGTCAATCGCTCGGGCTGTAATCCTCTAGTCCAGGGCTGCTCCATGGGGAGGACAAAGCCCGCCCTTTGGCTGGAACTTAGGACCCCGGCTGATTTGGTAGGAAGACCCAGGGGCTGGGTGCCTTCTCTTTATCCCTGTCCTTGTACGACGTTGTCTGTCTTGGGCACGGGACAGCCACCTAAGCCACCAGGACGGCTGCCAACCTTCACGACTGCCGTATGAGATTTCCTCCTCGTTGGTCTGATGTGATCCCCTCCACATCCCTGGTCTGGCTGCTTCTGGCCCTGGGACCTCCACTGGGAGCCGGCCGAAACTTGGACCCGACCGACTTAAAACCCAGCCAAGGACTGTTTGCTAGGAAGTGGTCTGTGAGGACTGTATATGTGTCGGAATGTGGCTTGGACCATGATGGGATTCTGCCTTTACTATTTTTCATCAGAGTCCCCTACTGACTACTGAAGTCCTCTCTTCTGCAGGCAACAGAACAGGTAGACTGAGGTACCCTGCGTCCAGCTGTGAATGGCCCTAAAGCAGGCTCCTGATCTCAGGGCCTCTTGCGGAATGTGTTTGGCTACTAATCAGGCTGATAAACTGCCTCCGGATATATTGGATGTTTGTCTAAACGGGCCTCCTGCGGAGGAGCCCCTTCCGGGTAGCCAGACCCCTTTAGTTTCATTCTCGACCGACCTCATCAACCGCGTACCGCGTGCCGGGACTGCTGTCAGCCTTGATCGTGGGTTCCATCCGCCACAACGCCATCCCCGCGTTTTAGAAAAGCGGTTACAAGATCATGACCTGGGCTGAAACCAAGAGTGGGACGCTCAACCCACTGAGCCACCCAGGCGCCCGTGGCCCGTGTTGCTTTGAAGCCTCTAAGATCAGACCAGAGCGCTGTGCAGTCTATGGTTCCTTTCCCAGTGATGGAGGAGAGACCCTTAGTACTCTGACTCATGCCCTGCGAGTTGGGTTTGGGTTTTTTTCCACTGGGACACGGCGTAGACAGAAAGCGGTTGGCGGTAGATAGAGTTGTCAGCTCTGCACGGGAGCTCCAAGCCCTGTTCCTTCTAGGCCTTTCAAGTGGATCTTGGGCCCTCCGCTCAATTTTGCCAGCTCTCTGCTGAAGGCTCAGCGGGAGGCCCTCTGGAGGTGTGTGGAATTTCTGTCTACAGCTGCCTCCTGCCCTTCACTGCCCTTGTGAACCCCAGCAGTCCCCAGCCCTGCCCTGTCCCCCCCCCCCCCCCCCCCCCCGGCCCCCCCCCCCCCCCTGCCCTGTGTCCCACCTCCCAGCCCTGCCCTGTCCCCGCAGCCCTGCCCCTCTGCCCTGCCCCTCCTCTCAGTCCTACCTGGACCTCCCAGCCCTGCCCCGCCCCCGCCCAGAAGGCTGCCCACCTCTGCCCGTGTCCCCCTCCCTGCACCACAACCCAGAAACGTTCTCAAGGCCACTTTCCTCTATCCCTCGGGACTTAGGCTCCTTGCGCAGTTTGCAATATCTTCAGAATCTTTGTTTCATCATATATTTTGTCCAGTATTTTAGTTGCTTCAGGTGTGTAGGGGGGTAAATGTGGCCCCTCTTACTCCATCTTGAAGCAAAAGTGGTTTTAGGTGATTTTCATCGCCTCACATTCTGCACTGGTGCTGGTTTTGGTACCTGCACTAAGCATGCTTCCCAATTTATAAAGTAAACACGCTTTTTAAAAGACAGAGGACCTGCTCTGGAAAGGCACTTGCCAACTTGTTTCTACTACGTGAAGGATTCTTACAGCTCAGGAGAAAAAGGCAGAAATTATAATAGAAATATAAATGGCCCAAGAGTTTGTTGTTTAAATGGTGACCACAGCCACGGCACCTGCCGTCTGGACGGACAGGAGGCCAGCGCCCCTGTGTTCCTGGGTACACACAGGCTCTGGTCCCTTGCTGCGCTCTTCCAGCTGACTCAGAGGACACCGTGAGTCCACACACACACACACACACACACACACACACACACACACTCCCCATGAGCAGGAAAATGTTCCAATCACGTCTGTTTCTTCCCCCATTTTAAACCCTTCTTCTAAGGCCGTCATTCCATTGTTTGTTTGACTTTTTCTTTCCTCACCAAAAAAAGATGTTATGTGGCAGACCTTAGGGTCTTGAGGCTTCCAGTTACAGAAAAATCAAATGCTTAGTGACAATGTTTTTTGGGGGCTCAATATTCATTTCTGCGATTAAACATGGGTGAAGTGGGTGGCAAGACCGCTTTCTTTTTCCAAGTAAAACGTAAAATGCCACATAAATTCTGTGCTTCTGAAAGGGGCAGATAAATCCGATGGTAGAGAAATGCAGTACTGATAACCCCCAGACTTGCTTTGAGAAATCCTCTCCGGGGCGCCCGAGTGGCTGGGTCCCTTAAGCATCCGACTCTTGATCTCAGCTCAGGCCTTGATCTCAGGGTCATGGGTTTAAGCCCCGTGTTGGGTTCTGCTCTGGGCATGGAGCCTACAATTTTTTTTCATTTAAAAAAAAATTTTTTTTTTTTAATGTTTATTCTTGAGACAGAGACAGAGCATGAATAGGGGAGGGGCAGAGAGAGAGAGGGAGACACAGAATCCGAAGCAGGCTCTGAGCTGTCAGCACAGGGTCCGACGCGGGGCTCGAACTCATGAGCCATGCGATCATGACCTGAGCCGAAGTTGGTCGCTTAACTGACTGAGCCCACCTGGGTGGGCTCCCTGGGCATGGAGCCTACTTAAAAAAAAAAGAAAAGAAAAAGAAAGGAAGGGAGGGAGGGAAGGAGGGAAGGAGGGAGGGAGTGAGGAAGGAAGGAACGAAGGAACAAAGGAAGGAACAAAGGAAGGGAGGAACCCTCCTGACCTCGTCCGTGGTAAGAGCCCTAGCCCAGTGTCTGCAAGTCGTATTTCCTGCGAATTCAGTGTTGCACTCCCATACCGTTCCTGATTCTGGGCCCTTCATACACTGCAGGGGGGACTCGGGGCAGGGAAGACTCTCTTGGGCAGGCCGGTCTGGCCGGCGGGTCTTGGAGCCCGGAGGGAGTGTGGGGCAGGCTGATGTGAAGGCGGCATGAAGTCAGGTGGACTGCACCGGGGACATCCCCGAGCTTCGGGCAGGCTCTGCCGAGCTCCTCGCCGTAGATACCACTGTCCTCCCTACTTCCTTCCCCTCCTTCCCTCCCAGCCGCCCCGTCTCGGTCGTCCTCCCCAGGCGCTGGGCCATGCACCCTCGCCCGCCGGGCCCCGCGGCCCTGCCAGGCCTCGCCGGGGCCCCCGAGGCTTCTGGATGTGCCCTTCTGCACATCGCTCTCCCCCACGTGGGTGCAGCACCTGCAGACCGCGGGACGTGCCGTGCTCGGGTGCGGGCACTGAACGCCGTGACAACGTGCTGAACGCAGACAACGTGCTGCCGGAGCCACTGGCTCCTGACCCGTGAGGCCGTGGTCTCACAGAGCAGGCGTTCTCTCTCTGTCTCGTTACACGGCGGAGATGGGCTGCGCCCCTCACAGCTGTGGCTTTTCCCCCTTTCTGTCTCCCCAGAAATTGCCGGTGCTCCAGTGTCTGAAATTTCTGGGCCTTTCTCAACAGACGACATAGCCAGCAACTGCGTCCCCGCCCTGCCTTTGAATGAGCCCATTTTGTGGATTGTCTCCTACACTCTCATGAGCGTGTGTGGAATCATCCTTCTTACCCTGATCGTCCTGCTGCTACTTCCTTTCCGGTGTCGGCGCCTGCCCCCGGACCCCGAGGTCGTCAATGATGAGTCCTCGCTCGTCCGGCATCGCTGGAAATGAAGAGCAGGGTCCGAGCTCGTGCGCGACTCTGAACTCTCTGTTAGGAGAATTCCATTTCAGGTGCAGCAGCCGGGGTCATAAGGCAGGGTTCCTTCCTGTAACCACTAGTCTTAAATCTGTTCTGCTCCCAGATGCCTTCCAGATTCACTGTATTTTGATTCTTGATTTTAAAGCTTCCTTCTTCTCCCTCACTTCCAAGAAAAATTATAATAAAAAACACCTCATTCTAAACCAAAACAGAGTGAATTGGGCTTCAGGCTTTATGTGACTGGTTATGCCAGACTGGCTAAGTGTGCGGCCAAGACCAGCTTTGGCTCATTCTCCCCTTCCTCCCGTCTCTGGAGAAGGGAGTACGTATGGTTCGTAACTCCTCCTAGCTGATGGGAAGCTCTTCATATTAATTGCATGGAAGGGTATTTGGCACCAGGCCTCAGCCTGGATCAGAGTGTACGGGAGCCTTGCAATACGGCGGCAGGAGGAGCAACCTGGGGCCTGATGATATGACCATCCTGCCCGCTTCGGAGTTGGAAACAGAACCCTCTTCTGGGTCTCTCTGTGGTCTGAATGGGAGCTCGAATCCTCCGGGAGAAGAACATCCCTCCACGGTCTTCACCAGCCTCTTCTGAAGACGGGAAGCCTATTGTCCATCACGGCAGAGTGCAAGGGAAACCTCCTCTTTTGTGCTCGTGCTTGTGTAGTACCGTGGGTCTGAAAATAAGAAGCTACCTCTGCTGAGACTTTGCCCGGTGGGGGCCGCAGGCAGCTTGCTTGCTGCCCTCGGCTGGAAGAATCATCATTCCGCTGGGTGAGAGTGACAGGTGCTGTCCTGTCACCCAGCTGGCCATCATCCCACAGGCGTACTCGTACTTAAAATTAACAAGTGGGGTTTGGGTGAGAAAAACAGATCCGATTTCGCCAGCTTGGTTGTTTGTTTTTTCCAGATCTCTGAAGGTAGGTTGGGTTATTACCTTTTAGGAAGGTAGGGAAATGGCCGAATGCCCGTCCTTGTGACCAACACCCAGGGGGAAGGAAGACACAAGATGTGCGGAGGACTCGAAGGAACTTCGGCTTTTCCCGTGCTTCCAGACCATGTGTCCGCGTCTGCAGAACCCCTAGACTCCAGTGTAGCCATCTGAACCCGCGAGAACAAATCCGCGACCTGCGCGCTGCTCTCCTTTGGCGTGCTCGGTCTCCGGCGACGAGGTGGGTGTGCAGTGCGATCTTTATTTGGGGAACCTCCCTCTTGCTATCGTTTATTTGATAAACTAATTTCTTCGCCAAAAAAATCCTTCATGCTCTGTAGTCAGCCTGCTGTGATCAGATGTAATTAGAAGCGTTCACAGTTCAAAGGCAATATCCCCTCTCTTGTTTGGGTGCCCAAGTCCATGTTCACTTTGCATTGCTATTGGGGTGAGTTGGGTGGATGCAGGAATCCTACTGGGAAGGCTAACTGGAGTTTCTGCTCTGGCTGGACCGTCACGTATATTCAGAATAGGCTACATCGCGGTGGGGGAGGGGGGGGGTCAGCCACCTGCTCTGCTCACTGGACCAGGGCACGTCCGTCCTGAGGAATAGACAACCACAGAGATGTGGGGCCACTTATACATGTCGTGGTGTCCTTGTGGACACTACAGCAACAGAAGGTTTGAGTTGATCTTAGAGCGTGAATCTTCTGTGCTCTGTTCAGGAAACAGCTGGAACATGGCGGGTTACGAGGCCCTCTAGAGATGGGATGGCAGGAGGAGGGTTCCCTTATCGGATACGCATCAGGTCCGGTCTCGGCTAGGTGACAGGTAGTAATTGCAGAGCACATTTCAGAGTTCGAAATCTCTGGAAGCCTAACTCTCTTGTCCTGTTGGCTTTTTCATGGGTTCCCGCTTTGTGGTCCACTTCTCACGGAAGTGATGGCGGTCCTCCCAGACCGGGTCTTCCCTTGGTGGTGAAAATCCAAGCTCGTGCACTAAAACGAGGGAACTGCGGAGGTGACCCGGGCGGTTTTGCTGCCTCGTCCTTCACACGGATATCTTCTGTTCCAGTCTCTCGTGTTGGGTTTCCGGGCTCGTGTTAGACCAGCAGGCACTGTCCCCAGAATGCATGATGACAGCAAGTCAGTTTCAAGCTCTAGGGTAGCTGATGAAGTTTGCTGTAATGCTGTGGGTTTCCTATCAGATTTCGCCACCTTTTCATCCCAGACGTCATGGGATGTGACATTTTAATGGAAATGCTTAGATTACAAAAGTGTAAGTTAGCGACCAGAATGAAATAGACAGTGGAACGTGGGACATTTTTCTGCATGCTTTGCTGTCGAAAATTGGACGTTGGGTCAAAACCCTGGTTCGTGACACCCACCTCCTCGAGTTATGTAAATTGATACGGAGCTTGGGAAACCTTCTAGCAGGCCTGCTTTGAACAGGAAGGGAAGTAGCAATTGTCTGACCGTGTCATTTTTACCTTATACCACGCTATGGAAAATGCTGGAAGACAGTCCTTTCTTGAAAGCTGCAACTTAGCATTATGCTTTTGTCAAACCTTGTCAACCCTCCCATGAGAAGTGGGATGCTTCTGCGTGACCCATAGGTTTGCTGTTGGTTTTTTTTTTTTTTTTTTTTTTTTTTTTTTTTTTTACTAGGGTGATATTTTATATTCTCGGTAAGTTATTTGGAAGCCTCAAATGCAGTCCTGTCTTCAGTCTCTAGACCTCTTTGAAAACTAGCAAGAAACAAGATGAGGACTGAGTCCTCCCCCTGCCCACCCCCGGGAGTTTTTTTTTTTTTCAACGTTTTTTTTTAATTTTATTTTTTTTATTTATTTTTGGGACAGAGAGAGACAGAGCATGAACGGGGCAGGGGCAGAGAGAGAGGGAGATGGAGAATCGGAAACAGGCTCCAGGCTCCGAGCCATCAGCCCAGAGCCTGACGCAGGGCTCGAACTCACGGACCGCGAGATCGTGACCTGGCTGAAGTCGGACGCTTAACCGACTGCGCCACCCAGGCGCCCCCGCCCCGCCCCGGGAGTTTTAAAAAGCGCCACAGTGATTGGTACCACACTATTCTGTATTTTTTCTAAACCAAAAACCAGTATCTGGCATTAAAGAAACGGGTTCCTCGCATGAGACTTCTGGGAATGCTGTCCTTCGTGAATGCAGCCCACTCCTGAAAACTTGGAACCAGACTCCCTGTGAAATGCAGAGTGTTGTGGTTGGAGATCAAGGTGGGGTCAGTTACGGCTCAGAATCACGAAAGTAATCCCCAGCAGTGCCCCCACGGCTCTGCGGAGATATCAGCGGTGGGGGCACCCACCGCTGACATCTCCGCAGAGCCGTGGGTGATTGATCTTGTAAACGGTTCTGACTTAGCGTTGTCTTATTTAAGAAGTGAGGAAGGACTGTTTGATCGTTTAATAGGTCCCCGCGGAAATGAAAATTTGTCACGTTCTTCTCTCCAGGTCCCCCGTGTGGTGGGTTACCGTCACAGTTCAGTTCTGAGTTCTGGCCCAGGGCCTCGTGATGACACGGGAGATAAATTCCTGTCCTCCCCCCCCCCCAAAAACCTGTTCCCTAAGCATCAATAGTAGAGTTTCCCCAACTTATTCTTCTTAGTGGAAACCAGATACTTGGGTGGACTCCCCAGATGTTCTTGTCTTGAACAGACTCATTAGAATTGATATCACAACTGTTCAGAGCCAATACTTTGCCACCAAGAGGGTTTTTTTTCTGTTTTACGAAAAACAACTAAACATCATAAAATGTAGAATTTGGGTTTTGCCAAGAGAGGGACGAGGTTTTTAGCGCCAAGAAGACTCCATACAGCAGAAGCTCTCGCATACATTTGTAGTGGGTTTTAAGAATTGCCGATCAGAACTTCTGTCGGTTGACCAATTACGTGGCAAAGCTGGAAAAATACATTTTGAGTGGGGAAGGGAAATAAACACGTAATCCAAAGTATGGCGACTACATAAGCGGAATTCGCAGTTTGGGAAAGCTGCTCGAATTAATTCCGGGAATCCTCACGTTTCTTACCCTTAGAGTTGCTGAATCAGTGGCAGGTGGGATTTACTTTCTACAGCAGCAAGCCCAAAACTTCAAGAACATTCAAGCCGGAGTCACGGGTCAGGTGTCAGCATGGGCAACGTGATAACGTGGCCCCTTACACTTCGCATTGCCCAAGCCAGGTGAAGATTGGTTCATTCGAGGACCAGGGAAGGGGGTGATTGGGACTTCGAAGGTTCTAGAATCTGAGAAGGGAGGTGGGATAGGAAGCCGGATCCTTTGTCGGCAGATGGCTGTGAAGGATCTGCTGGGCAAACTGAGGACGTCCCAGGATGTCATAGGCAACTCATTTCCACCCCCTGGAAATGATTTTTTTTGCACCCATACTTTCCAAGAATTTTCCAAAGGAACCTCTAAAGGGAAACTTGCTTTACAGCCATATTAGAACACCTGTATTCTAACGCAACTAGAGAACTGCCAAGCAAGACCTAGTCCTTAGGCTGTAGACTCAAGGTTGTACACTGGGATGTTCCTAGGGCAGGGTCGAGGGGCCGCAGCCAGAGCGGGTGGTCGGCAGTTACCTTAGGGGTGTGGGCATCAGACAGTTGTCTTGAAAGCCAGAGCGACTCAGACACAGTCACGTCCGCCCAACCCTGCCGGGCAGCCCCCTGACTCAGGAAGAATCCCGACAGGTCCCTGACCGCACTCCTCCTCTGGGGACGCCTGCTGTCAGAGACACTTGCAGAAAGAAGCGTCAGCCCCTGTGCCCCTGTGCACAAGCGTGGCCTTGTGGCATCTCACAGGCCATACATCTCGCAGCTCACCCTGGTTCTGTTCAGAATCAGCGCACTTCCGTAGGCTCCCCACGTGTCTAGTGAACTCCAGCCGCTGCTTGAGCCCACGCCCTGCCTCGGGGAGAATGTCATCCTGGGGCGGGTCGGCCGGATTGTAGTGACGCCAGCCTGTCTGTGGAGCCTCTAGTCTCGTGAGTTCCCGGGGTGAATTTCGAGTGTCATAAAGACACATGACTTCAGCCAATCAGTACAGCGTTTCTCCCTAGTGCTGAGCCTTCTCTGGGTTTCTTAGCGTCAGTGTTACGTACACGTGTCTGGCATTTCTAAACTACATCGTGCTGGGTGATGTGGCTGCACGTTTTTCTCTTGAAGATCTGCCCGTAGCCAAAGGCTGGGCCGGGAGGGTCCATCCGCCTTCCTAAATAACCGTGTGTGCTTTGTGGCTGGGAGTTACAATCGGGATC